CCACCCCTTTGTTCATTGGCATAGAGAAGGGAGTTAAAATCACCCATGATAATCCATTTTGGGCCAATCCGAGCATGTAGAGAACGCAAAAAATTCCATTGATCGGCTCTGATGGAGTCATCACAGGAATCGTAAACTGTTGAAAAGAACTAGGTACCAACTTGCATACCCCCATCAATTGAGCATGTAATTTGAAAAGAACTGTAGTAAAAAATATTGATATTATAATTGTTAGATAATATCAATATTTCTTTTTTCAGTTATGTGAACTTTACATTCTTCGTTCTCTTTTCAATTATGTGAAGAGGAGCTTTTGTTGTTCTTCTGATGATTTAATTACTTTCTTGGATTCTTTGGGACCTTAGTCTCGGTTCCACTTTTGTAATTGGGACGCGTACCCCTTTTGAACGCCTTTTTTAATGTTATTTTTACTTATAAAAAAAAAAAAATTGTTAGATAAAAAAGGGCAAGGCCTCCTGAAAGGCCAATAGGAGGAACCAGGAACATATTATAATCACTGAAGCAGCTATGGAGCTTAGATAGGTAGGGGTTAGAATTTTTGGTTTTTAGAAGGCAAAACATAAAAGGGGGAAGGGAGAGAAATCAATCCCCTCAACTGGGAAACTGTCAGGGGGTTCCCGATACCCTGGCAGTTCCACACCATGGCTCTTATTGGGGGGTTTTGGGCCAGTTAGGGCTGGCTTCCTCCACTCAGTTAGAAATCGCAGAAGAGTGAGGGTTGGTTGTATGAGGAGAAGAGGTGAAGGTTTTGGGATGTTTAGGTGTTGAGACATATAAAGGATCATGAGGGAGAGAACTTCTCTTAGAGATGGTTGGGAGGGATGGTGGGGAAGAGTGGGAGTGGGAGAGACTAGCTCTTCGTTTCCAAGAGCGAGCAGAGAACTCTTGAATAAAAGAAGATGCCATTAGCAGGGAGAAAGCTGGAGGAGATGAGTAAATGGGTGGGTGTGGGCCGGCTGGGTTACATTGGATTGGATCATTAGAAAAGGAGGATGAAGTATGTTGGTTTAGGGTAGTGGTCATTGGACTAGGTTCATCACCTGAGGATGTAGTAAGCTGGGTTGGGCTAGGAGGGGAAGATGAGCGCTCAAGGTCAATGGGGGATAGGATAGAAGAGGATGAGCTTGGAATTGGACTTATGGGATAAGTAAGTGTAAGCTATGGAATGTTTTGGGCTTGGATTAAAAATAGAGAGAGGAGGGGAAGGCCCATCACCTGGAGGTCCGGAGAAAACATTGAGAACAACTGGCATATTCATGTGGAGAGAGAAAGGCAGTTGTCCTTGACCCATGTGCTACGTTCTGGTAGAAGCTTCACTAACCACGTTCTTATCCATGACGTGAGCGTTGACGATCGGGGAAGATGTAGAACGGATCTTTGACATAGTGCATATCTCCGGTGGTGCCATTGTTACCGGCGGGGAAGGAAAAGAGCAGACCGTGGACATAGGGCGAATCGCCGGTGATGCCCTTGATTCCGGCGGAGAAGGGAAATCAGTACTAGAGAGGTGAGAAATTGGGATAAGTTTACCCGGATCAGCATCGTACCACATCCAAGGACCAAAAGGAGGTTGATCCGATGACCGAGCCTCATGAACCAAGCAAGCAGTGAGAATATGACCTAATGATCCACAGTGGTAAATAATAATAATAATAATAATAATAATAATAATATAGGAGATAGTTTAGGGTTTCCTCCTAACAGAAGAAAATAGGACAATGCGGAAAAGGAAATCTGCCAAAATCTGCATTCCAAATTTGCGTCAACTTGCAGCTCTGTTTTGACCTAGTAGAAGTGCTTTTCACGAAGTCCTTATGAAATACAAATATGATGGGCTATAAACAAGTCTTCTTTCCACAGCCGTTGATTTTGCGTCATTCCAATATTCAAGTCAAAGTTATGACCAAAATACTGAGGTTGATGTAGAACTTTCCTTCCAAGCTTGTTTCCAAATTTGAATATGGAAGTTGCCTTTTCTTCACTTTAAGGTCCCAAAATGAATTTGACTTGTTAAAACTCTCTTTAGAATTCTCTTCAAACTATCTTGACCATTGGATTATCTTTAATACTTATCTCTTGCATTTTTCTTTTCGTCGATCGAAGGGTTGCTCCTTTGATCGATCGAAGCTCTTCCAGGTATCGATCTCAGAATACTAGACTATCATTAATCGAAGTTGTTCAATGGTCGATTGATTGAAGCTCTGTGGTACTTCGATCGAGGCTTTCTACAAAAGAAATTTCCACTCATTAACGTGCCATTTTAGTGAAGAAAATATGTAACAATGGAGAAAAGGAATTTCTTATATTTATGTGTAAAATGCGGGAATAAATGCAAAATATATGCGATAATGCCTATTAAATCTATGACAGTAATGCAATTTTGAGCTATTATCACGTGTGATAAAAATGAATATTATATATATATGTGTTTTGTATTTTGCATATGAATTCAATAAAATCAATGTACATTTGGAATGATTCTAGATATTTGACGCAACTAATTAGAAGTTTTTAAAAGGTGGAGTTTTTGACATATAAAATTGGAGGACCGAGGAAGTCTATGCATGTAAATATTTTTCAGATGCATGTGTTAAATAAATCAATTACCATTAAAAAAAAGTGCAACTTAAAAGCAAAAATCATGTGAATTTTTTATAAAAAAATTATATTATAATAATTCAGAATCTATCACCACACATTTAATGTTAGTCAACTGTAACCTCGTGAATTTCATCAAATATACGAAAAGATTTAACAGTATAATCCTTCCAATATGATCATGATGGTAATATAGAATATGATCATGGTCATTCGAAAGGGAGAGAGAGAGAGACTAGCATATACGAGGCAAGCTTTTTTTCTTTTTGAGCGCGGAGCCTGCACAATAGAACGAGCCAGATGGATTTACGTAAGTTTGACTAAAGGGCCTGGACTATATTAGTTTTAGGTGCTGTGGCTGAGACCTAACAAGCCTGGTTTTTTTTTGGAGCCTAGGTATGCCTAACAAATATGGGTTTGCCTATGAGTTTGACTATACAATTTAGGCCTTAATTATCAGAATTATGAAGTCTTGATTTGAATAAATACTTTTGACTTTCCAGAAAGTTCTCTTCCGTTCGGTTTTTTTTTTTTTGGTCACCCCTATTATTGCTCTTCTCATACCCTCAACGCTTTCTTGTAAGAAGACTATGGCAGAGCACACAGGGCAGTGGAATGTCCATTCAGGGATGTCTTGGAGGGTAAGTAACATTCGAATAAGGAAGTCGAAATAGAATATATGGCGTCAATGGACGAAGTTAGAATCTTGACAGGATACCCATCAATTATGAACTTCTCTCCGCTAAAGTCGATCAGATGTTGAAGATTTCAGGGTAAATTAGGTTAATTGGTTTGGAGGATGACTTTTATGTTAAGGCCTTCAGAAGGAGGTCCAAGTATAGGAGGGTTCTATGAACTGCCCATAAGTAATTCCTGGACATTAGTCACATTACTTCATGGTGAGGCATTGGCAATCGGGTTCTATGGCTGCACATAATATTTAATAAATTAAAATCATATGTATTAAGTGCAACAGGTACATAAAAGTAAACGTACAAATGCTCTAGGGATGCTTCCGCTCTTAGAAAAAGACTTGACGCTCTCATGATCGTGACTCCCATTTTATGTGACTTAGGTGATATCTAAGTACAGTGGACTAATCTAAGGGGATCTCGACCGGGCAGGTTTAAAATTAAGGAGGCAAAATCCCAAACTTGTGACATACCAAAGGCCAGGGCAGGCTGCAATTAAATTATTTGTCGCAGCGGATATCCCATCGCATTTTAAAAATTTTGAAAAATAAATTTTTTTAGTATAATGATGGGATACCCAAAAATGGGTGAAAAATGCATACTGTTCTGATTTTTGGGCATGTAAATCAGCCCCACGACAATAATGTTTTAATTGTTGTTGAAGCCATGTGTCCTTTAGACAGCAAAAAGCTTTGTCCAATTGAAACTTACCTCTCAAAGGGAATATCATGACCTTTATAGGGTAGAGACGCTTAGTCATTCTTGAGCCATGTGGTAATAGTGTTCCTTTTGCTATTACAATACTATCGGGTGGATGGAACATGCTTGGTCAGTTTCCAAACCTGATGCTACCCTTGCTTAGAGGCTCATTTAATTGGCCCAATGAAAGCTTCACAAGTGGTTTGCTTGGGTTTCCTGGTCAAATGGACTTACCTAGAACTAACAATGAGCCCTTAGGACTTTGCCTTGACTATGACAGCCTTGTAGTGTTTGTTATAGTGCTATGACATATCTCCCAATCCTAACTGCTATTTGTGACTTGTTTCATGCATGGATTTCCACGTGTCTACAGACTCTACACTGAATATTTCATTCTCTTGATTTAAGGATGAATTATAACATGCAGACCTATCTTAGGTTTGAATCTAGCTTCTAGAGCTGGTTCAGTTTCTTTCCTGGGGAAGAGATTAATAATAAAACCACATTCTTCAAATTTCTCTAATTGTTATTGCTGTGTTGGGCTTCACTAAATTTGATTAAAATTTCCATGCAGCTGGGTATATAATTGTTGAAATCTCATAATAAATCAATAAAACATGAGTGCAACTTTCTATTAACTTGCACTCGTAACTTTTTTTGTATAATTTTTACTCTAGCTGACTCTAAGCAGTTGTAACAATACTTAGTGAGTTGTCATAATAAATTGTTGAAATCTCATAATAAATCAATAAAACATGAGTGCAACTTTCTATTAACCCGCACTCATAATTTTTTTGTATAATTTTTACTCTAGCTGACTCTGAGCAGTTGTAACAATACTTAGTGAGTTGTCAAGTGCAGTCAAAGCTTTTCAGTCCTCTACTATTGAAGATTTATCATTATATGTATATATTTTATTTAGGCTTCGGCATTGTCTATCCGCATCTATTATAATCCTTTTTTTTTTCTTCTTCTTTTTAATTCTTGCAGGATATTGAAATGAACAGGGGGAAGCCTTTGTATTTGAATGAGGAACGCTATGCAGCTCTAACTCATATGGTACAAATGGCATCCTTGCTTTCCATTCTTCATGTATTTTATTCCCCATAACTGCGAAAAAAGGGCGTCATTTGATATTTGATGTTTTACACTTTGCTAAACCACTAAGCTCCAAAGACGCTTCTGGGTGTAATCTTAGGGTGCTAGTATTGTTTCTTTGCTAATGTGAGATATGTTTAAATCTATTTTTATTTAAGCATGTTCATTTCTGTTTCGTCTGTGTATTTGTTCTCCATAGAGGAGCCTACTTTGATCCCCACACCCACCCCCACCCCCCTCCCCCCCCCCCCCCCCTATTTTTTTCATAATATGATTTTGTTCTAATAAAATAATTATAAAATAAAACTACACGTCTCTTCTTTATTAGATTTTAATGCCCTATATACTAGGAAGCAAGTGTACTTCCACTGGATTGATGTACCCATATTGTGTCCGTGTCGGATACTGATACTCCTCGGATACTCGAGATTATGTGTCTGATACTTCCTAAACGTATTTATTTTTAAACTTGTATCCGATACTACATATACTTCGACCACCTATCTGATGCTTAACAAGTTTTGAACATTCACATGTAACTTTTCAAAAAATAGTATCATAGTATAATTGTTAAGAAAAGTTTAAAGTTTATTCAAAAAAGAAGTTTTGAGATATCAATCATAATTTGGTCCAAATTTTATCCATGCAATATAACCATAAACTCTTTTTTTGTTTGTTAATCACAATCTTTTGTAAAGAAATGTTGATAACAATATGTATAACATAGACAATTATTATATAAATTTATCCATGGATACGTATATCCAAGTTTATAAAAATATCTAGTTTACTGTACCCTTTGCTTAGATGTAACCTATTTTTTAAGAATTTGTCAAATAGTCTTATTCATATCCCGAGTCCATATCTGTGCTTCATAGCCTTTGTAATATTTATTTAATTGTTTGTTTTGCTTTGCACTGTAATTTGTTGTGCATTCATGATCTATTTTTTTGCATGGCAGGTGGCTTCCCATGGCCTTGATAGAAGTTCTAAGGTTCTTCGCCAAACAACTATTGGTTCTTTCTTCATGCTTTAGTTTTAATTCACATTAAACTTTCGTGTGAAGGTCAGTGTTAAACTTTTGGCCATAGCGCTATATTTCTCATGTTTCCCTTCTATGCTCGGACACATCAATCACTCAGTTTCTTACAACTCTTGTTGAATATTATATTTATATGCTACAGGTAGCATAGAATTCTAAATGAGATTGGGTATCTCAAATGCGAATATTGTCCAGATGTTGATATTTTTTAGTTTGTGGCTTAAACAAAACCGGAGTTGGTTGTGGTGTGAGTGAGAATGTACAGATCATCCAGGTTAGTTTCTTGGAATCAATAAGTGATGATCTTTTTTTTTTCCCCCATTTTTTCCATGACAAGTTTGTCTATAGCATTACAAGGACAATAATGGCGCTTTTCATGTTTTGATAGGGAAAATACCTTTTTTTTTTTTGCCTATTGACAAGAAACACACACAACACTACTAAAAAAGGATTGAACCATGTTGCGAAGAATTGTCTATTCAAATATTTTTCCTAGGGCACTAATCATTTCACTCTTTTTTTTTTTATAATAATAATAATGAAATTGATACAAGTCACCTTATTTCCATTTTGATGCATTTCTTAATTATTTTACAATTGCTCTGTGTATCTCATTCAGTTGTATGTTTTCACAGAGGCTCTGTATCTGCCATGAGTCAGAACAAACTTGTAACTGAGGATTCGTCCACCGCCAACTTCATGTTTACCCTATTCTCCAGATTTTACAGTTTTTTTGTTATGTATAAAGAATTGTGGCTGCAATAAGAAGAGTCCACCTATTCTATCAGATGCAAAATCATATTTAGTAAATTATCTTCTGATTACCAAACAGCTGCCTCAAGTGTATAGTCATCCTGGGATTTTAAAATGCATCATTTTATTTACTTTCTTGGTGCAAGCGATTTTGCATCGGACCTCTCTCTTCCAAACAGGAAGGTAGTTCCTGGTATATGAACACTATAGGCGGGCATATTTCGAGACTTTATTCTCATATCCCGTTTTGCTCAAGCTGGCAGATTGGAATTTAAAAAGTTAGAATGGATAATCATAACTGAGCGAATAATTGCAGGAATTTATATTCACTGAACAGATTATCACAAGGTCTAAAAGAATCTAATACTATATTAAAAATTAAATATACGAATTGCAGATTGGTGAAGTTTAAAATAGTCATTTTAAAGGTAGTGCGACTTTTTTCCTTTGATTAGTGAATATATACATAGTCTTGCTTGCATGATCTTCGTAGCACATTTGTACTCTTCCTTGCTATGCTTCTACGCGTGGGAAGTACATAAAGTAGAATTTCTAGCAAATACTTTCCAAAGACTATTAGTGTAGGCAACGTTAATGTTATAGTGAAACAGTGTACAGTACTATGTTTTCTAATGTTTTAGCAATCACAAATGTATACACTGTAATTATAAAATCAGGAAAGTGATAAATAAGAAAATCAAAGAGGAGGTAATTGAATTCTATTTCAAACAAATGTATACATAGACTGTAATTACAAAATCAGGAAAGTGATAAATAAGATAATCAGAGAGAGATTAGATTCTATTTCAAACAAAGTTGTTGTCCAATTTTTTAATTATAGTCTATTTATGCATTTGTAATTGAATCACAACTAGTGAATAAACAAATCTTGTCCTTTTAAAATTGACAAGTTTTACCATCTCTCCATGTTCCATCCATTTCTCTTCTGTTTTTTGGCTCCATCTTGGAGTGTCTTTCTTGCAGAATAATGCTGAGACTGGCCAGTTCAATCTCACAAACAAGCATTCTGTCTTTAACATGTAGAGTAACACCAACACATGCACATCGATCTGAAAATGCAAACAAAATTTCTAAAGATCCTATGACGAGATATCATCCACTTGGAAATGTAACAGAACATATCTTCCATCAATCTTATAACAAACATGAAAGACAGCCAAAATAATAACAGAAATGTTGTTTTCATACAAACCCTTTTCAAAATACATAAAATAAAAACCATCTTGATCCAATTTATTAAATCTACCATGAACAGAAGAACTTTTGATAAGTTAAAACAGCTGAAATATATATCCTCTGCTTTTAAACAAGGGCATAAAACAAAGTTTACAGTAGTTCAAAACTAAAATAATTCATAAACCACATCCAGGTGCGTTCAAATGTTTACTGTCGAAGTAATATTAATGACATCTTAATCTGGGGTAGCAGCACCTTGGTTGAGCTCTGCAAATCTCATGCTAACACGCATCGAGTGCTTCAGGTACTTCTCAGCACACCGTTGGACACAGGTCTCTTCTTGTTTGTCCAGGGATTTACGCCGGAAGGAGTCAACACATTGAGTGAAACATCTCTCCACCAGTGAATTATACATCCTCAAACTGCAATGTGGTTAAAAGAGGAAAAATAATAAGGTTTTATTGCTACTCAATCATGATCAGAAAAGCAAGAATTTCTATCAAGTCGTATCTTCTTGTATTGTGCCTAATATCCTTAGTTCTTTACAAATTCTAACACACTCCAACAACAAGAAGAAAAACATCACAACTCTTTACACAGCAAATCCAAATTGTTGACAAGAAGTCAATGAAAGTCGTATCTTCTTGTATTTCAGGAACTTCGTTGTGTGTATCCATTTATTTAATATAGACCAATCTTCACCAAGACCAAGGCATTAAAAATGCATTCTGGAAGTTGGAGTTGGACCATGTTTATAGTGATAGATGTGAGTATATTGCACAAGACTATGATATGTATGCCATACAATATCGATTTCCAGAAAATAAAAAATGATGCATAGATAGATTGTACCTGATAACTGATTTATAGAATGTTGAATATAGTAACTTTGTGTTTCTTTGCGTATATGGAACAACGGATTATAGATTGAGAATCAAGAAAAAGAGTAGTAGCATATTAACAGCCGAACCATCCAAACAAGTTCCACATGCAATTATCAGACAATATTCAGGAAAATAGAACAATAATAGAAGACAATTATAGCTTTTACTGGATATCGGCAACGATGTTAACCCTTCTACCATGTCATAACTCTTTACGAATCAAGAAATGTTATGCATATGAAAACATGAATGCAGAACCAATCTGTGACCTCTCTATTAATTTGTGTATAACTTTTGATCCAGCCCAATCAGTTCTGTGCTTCTATAGAGAAGCCAGCCTAAATTAATTGTAATTACAGAATTAGTTGAATTTTGGCTGTACTTGTGCCCTTCTGAAAATCAGGAAATTTCAGGGACAGCTTATGTAAAACAGAAAGATCTCCAATACAGTTAACTCGTCTATACTATTCAGAAAGCCAAGCCACCCTCCTACTTTTGTGGCAGCCATGAGGCCTTCTATTTTTATTGTTAATCCTTTGTACCATGTCACATACTACAAACCAAAACTGGGTAAAAGTTCAGCTAATTTCAATAACATGAAATATGTTGTGCCAATCAACCACTTAACAACTTTCTCCTCTTACCCCAACTACTCTTTCTCTTTTTCCTATCTCCTAAATTTACCTACATGGGTTATGATAAAGCGCATCACGTTTATACCATTTATAATGGATCCAAGTATAATTTACACAAGAAACACCAAGTAACATGACAAATTAATGTGCATGATATAAGAACTTCTTTTGTGCTTCACATATAATCAAAAGGTCCAAAGAAAAAATTCCTTTAAATCTTGCATTTGTAGGACAATATAAATATATAGAACGAAAGGAACTGAATATAAATACCAAGCACCATTGTAAAAGAGGACCGAGACTTTTTATGCTACATGGAACTATAGTGCTAATGCCATGGTGCAGCCTCTGACATAACACTTGATATATAAACCAGGATGTCTTCCCAGAATCTAGGCCCAAATGCTGTATTTCTATTTAAGTGTTTGAATTACATCATTCGCTATTGTTACGACAAATGTAGTGAACCAAGCAACAATTACAAAACACAACCGAAAAATAAACACACCACACAAAGAACACAAAAATGTATACGTGGTTTGGCAAGGCCTATGTCCATGGTATAGATCCGGCGTAAGTCTTCACTATGTGTAAAATCGGATATTACAAGTTTCCGCCCCTCAGTCTCTTTGTATGATTTTCAGTCTCTTGAATATCACACTCCAAACCCTAAGCGCCCTTATATATAGGGCTACAAGATAGTACTAATTAGGGTCTACGACTCATGAGCAAAAACAGGTCGTCGGGTTGTAAGGGGGTCGCAACGCAACCCGACACCAAATTCGGGCCAAAACATCACAGCTATGTAACTTGAACTCACGTATGCGTATTGGGTGCAACATGTGCTCTTAGAGTTGGACATCCCTAAATTCTAAATCTTAATTTACATGGACTCTACTTGAAATGTGCCAGGAAAGGAGGACACGAGTAAGCAGGCACGCATTGCACATTTAGATACCCAATATATAAGTACATACAATATATGTATATATTAGTCTGATGCTATTACTTTTTAAAGTATATCTCAACCAGAATTTAAGTACAATGGGATGCAGTGAAAATAGAGATTTACATTTATTGCTCCATGTGAGAAGCAGGAAAACCTTCCTCTAATATCAAATGTGAGCTTATTCTTCTTCATCCATCATCACATGTAGACATATATCCCATACCCAGTAACTTGTTATGTGATGTGTTGTTACTGGAACCTTTGGAGGAATAGGAGATTCCATGCAATACATAACACACGCATATACAAAGTATTTGGTTTGAACTTAATACCACGTCTCATTTCAGTAATTGAAAACATTACCACCTATACGAATCTATTTTACAATACTTTCAATCCCTTCCCCAATCCCCGCGCAAATATCAGTTTGATATTTCACTGAAGCACTAACCAATTAATTGATCTTTTGCACAAATACGTAACTTCTTATAAGTCGCAGGAATGAAAGTCAACTGCAAATGCATACTTATGGCCTGAAACAAAACAAATGTGAAATGTCCCAAACAGCAAGAATGACTCCAATGGCACACCAAATTCAGACTCAGATCACTCTATAGTTCAAACTACCATAATCAAAAATCAATTCATAAGCACACAAACAAAGAGTAACTTCATCATTTCAATCATTCACTTTGATATATAAATTCCATAAAAACCAAATAACCACCATACACGAGAATCACCAAATCGAGTCCATTTCAAAGTACCATAATCAGATCAATCATCTATACACCAACCAAAGTAATTTCATCACGAATTTCCTTCCATTTCAAATACACATTATATATTCGCACAAACACCTGAAATTTAGACACTATACATCATAACCCATTGATAAACAGAAACCAATATACCCATTTCGAAAACCGCAATAATTTCGAGAACAAACGTAGCAAAATGGCAAAAAACAAATGTAACAAGTAAATAGAAATATATATATATTGTATATAAAAACATACATATCTACTGCAGATATATATATATAGAGAGAGAGAGATAATATTGCATAAAAAGGAGAACCTGTCGCGGATTTGAAGCTGATCAATCATGGAGGACATTCTCAATTGATCCTCCTGGGGAAGAGAATCAAGGTCTCCAAGCATGCTCTTGTCCATCTTCGATTCAACGAAATTGTGGGGTTTTGGGGCTAACAGAGCACTGGTTTCTCACATCTACAAGAACAGCCGCTCTAAAACCCTAAAATCGGTGTGAAGTCTGTTTGCTAAAACGTCCTCCAATTTTAGTTAAATCTATTTTGTAGTGGCATTTCTTATATCCTTACATTTTGACGTATTTCCAAATTATAATTTTTGTATAGGAAAAAAAATATATACGGAGTATATAAAATACTAAGTATGGACCGCATGGTGAACATTCAACTATAAAAATTACTATAAATTTTTAGGTAGAGTATAGAGGCACCCTCTGAAGTTTGAGATAAGGTCATGGATGAAAATTTGTCCATTTTTTGACAACCACACCCCTTTAAAAAATTTGCCATCTAAACAGAGCCTTAATCACATGTAAAAAGTTCATTTTACTCTTCACTATTTTATTAATTTTAATTATAAAATATTAAAATACTTAAATAACCAAATTACCCTCATCACCAAAATCCACAACCAACAACACACATACCCGCCGCCCCCACAACCACCATCATCCCCACCCCCAAACCACTGCTCTCTCTCCGTTTTCTCTCTTCCTCTTCTTGTCGAGACGAAGCTTATTTACACGGACATAGTACACTAGAGATGAAGCTCGTAGACTATAGCAGATCGAATTGAACTGTAGCACCAAGTCTGAAACGGGAAGCTCGCCGAAACTATGGAGGTGAAGCTTCACTGCCATTTGCAGACTGTAGTGCCGGAACTGTTTGTCACCGGAAAGTAGCACACAAGAACTGCATGTTTACAGTCTGAAACGGGAAGCTCGCCGGATGTTTATGGTGTGAATGAAGCTTGGTCGGAATCAATGGAGCTTAGCTGCTCGGAGTTCGTCAGAATCAATTGAGTTTCGGCCTTGTGTTTGCACCGATGGAGACACATAAGATCACTACATATTTTTCATGCTCACTGACGTGCACTCAAGTTAGTTATCTTGACCGATTGATGAAGCCCTTTAGGTTGTTCATTGTTCGCCGTCGTTTGGGTTTGACGTTGAAACTTCTACGTCTTGAATGAAGATGAAGTTCAGCTCTCTGTTTTGGGTTGCTGAAGCTCGAAAGGTAGAATGGTAAAGCTCGCGGGAGGCTGAAGAAGGAGCGCATAGGCACATTCGGCGCGATTTAGATCTACTCGCAGCGATGCGTTTTAGGCGCGTGGGTGGTGATGATGAACTCCGTCGTCGCTGTCGTTTGTCGCCGCCTTGTGTGTGTGTATATATATATGTATCCGTATATACATAAATATATGTGTGTGTGTGTATATATATATGTATCTGTATATTTATATATATGTGTGTGTATAAATTGTGTTTCACCAGTTTACTTACATATGGCCACCAATTTTGTGTGCCCTATGATCTGTCGAGACACTGCTATCTATTGATGGTTGGCATACTGCAAATTACACAGTATGTGTGTGCTGGTGTTGGGGCGGAAGAAGATAGAATAGAAAGGAAAGAAGGGAATAAGTTATGCGTGTGAGGTTAGAAATGTCATTTCAATATTTAAAATGGTCAATATAAAAGTTAAAGGGTAAAAATGTTAATATATTATCATTGGGGTGTCTTTGGTAGCTGTATCAAACTTGAGAGAATGTCATTATCTCAAAATAGACAAACTTTACTCTGAGTGTCCTTTTTAACAAACCTCAAAGGGTGCTAGTGTACTTTACCCAAATTTTTATTTATATACATATAGAGTAAGACTAGTAATTTATATAATTTTGATTCATTTTTACTTGCCCTACAAGAGATGGTTTGACAAATAAAAAAAATAACTTATAAGATTAAATTATGTAAATATTGAAATGATTGCATTTATGTTTTTGTTCCGCCATAAAAAAATAGCATTATATGTTTCAGTTGTGATCGTACATATAATATAATTTTTTTTGTTTTCTCCTATAAGTGTTGGCAAATTGTTTAGGTGCCATTATGTTTTCTAAAATAATTAAATTTATTTTTAAATTAAGAATATACCCAATAAACGTTAGACACGTGTTTAATGTTTGTCCGGCAAGTGTTGGATGTTGATTTGGCTCATTCTTAGAACTGTTCCCAGCTGCTCCCCAATCGAAATTCATTTATAATGAGTTTGGATTATAATTTAATTATTAATTATTTTTTAAAATATTTATTATAAATATTATGTCATTGATATGTTTGTTCAATCAAAATATACCATTCAATAAAATGGTTTTGATTGAGCGAACATACTAATGATATGGTATGCTCGATTGACCTAATATTTTCATCAATATAAACAACAACAAAAATAAGGATTTTATGACATCTCTAATTTCAACAATAATTTTGTAATCCTTTCAAAATGAAAAAAAAAAAATAGAAGAAAATGATATCAATTATCAAGTTTAATGAAACATTTATTAGACCAACTTTACCTCTAAATTTATTAAGGACAAAAATATATTGTGAAAAATTCAACAAAAATATTTTATACACTTTTTCGTCCCTCCTAAGAAACACATCATTAGTCGCTTATGATTTGAAGTTCTCAACTTAAATTCACTATATAAGTGATAGTAGTATTTATTACTACATGGTACACATACTTTAACGTTTATGTGTCACTAACAATAAAATCAGCCCCAAATAATACAAGGATTTTTTTTTACTAGTTCATTTTGTCAAATTTTTACAAAAACTTAAGATATACTTGAACTGACTTAACAGGATGAGTATAAAAGTAGGAAAATCGGAAAGCTGTGTTCTATCATATATTATCACTTAGCAGTTAGTTCCCCCAAATCATATAAGTTCATTTTGAAAACAATATATGATGATGTATATATATATATATATATATATTTTGAAAAACCGTCAAGTTGTTCAAACTGTGGATATTAATAGTCCACTTGACGTAGAGAAACAAAACTTTTGGCACCCATAAATGTGTAGAGTCCCTTTTAGTGGGACAAGTTTGTACCAGCCCACTTGGCTTTATCACTTAGCAGTTAGTTCCCAAAATCATACGTATTATATATATGCTTTATTTGTATATATATCAAAGACAAATTGAGTACAGAAAAAAATAAAAATAAATAAAAAATAAAAATAAAAATAAAAATTGATAAATTGAAAAGTTTCACATCTTTTGAAGCATGGATAAGGTAAAGCTTCTTTTGACATAAATCTGCATGTATGATGCAGAGACATCTTCCTACTCTATTGAATGTATATATATATATATATCTCGTAATAATTCATTAAAAAAAAAAAAGAAGTACAATAACACTTCTCAGATTTGGAATAAGGATATGCATATATAAGTTTGTCTATTTTTTTTTTTTTTTTTTTTGACAATTATACTCCTTTAAGTTTAAATTTTTCGACAAAGAAACTCTGACAATAGTAAATTAACTTTATTATCCTTCATATAAAATTAGTATTTTAATTGACTTAAATATCTTTGGATCAAACCCTAACCCAAACCCCTCTCAAACCCTAACTCGAACAAGCCTAACAGTGTAAAGAACCATATCTCTCTTTCCCTCTACACACACACAAATACATATACCGCAGCCTCCACTACCACCACATCATCATCACATCTCAGCCGCCGCCATATCATCATCACACCTCAACCGTTGCAACCACCACTCCATCATAATAATCATTATCATTAGCAATATCCTCATCTATGCACATCACCACCCCCAGTTTACACAGGCAAATTATGCGATAATCAACTAAAAAGACCATCAGGTCATGTGAGCCTCTATCATCGTCGGCCAAACATACAAAGTTTGAAATACCCAAATCGAACTCTAAGCTTAAATTGAAGGGACTTGGATGGAACGGCGAGGAGATCATGTTTTGTGATCGACCAGAAAGGGCTCTAATCGAACAGGGGAGGTGATGACCTCTTGAATAAAGAGTCGGGTGAGATGGGTCCCGTGGTCAGAGTACTCGGCGAAGGAAAAGGATCTACTCGGATGGCGGAGGTGATGATCACATCTCAAATCGGATAACAGAGGCGACAAAGTTTAGATGAGTACGCTCCGGCGAGCGTCACCTGCAAGGTTGAGGAGGCGGCGGTGGCCGAGCTCTTTTTCGGCTATTCTTCAGTGCGCATCTCTGATTCACATTATCTTATTCATACTCTATCGGTAGTTTTAGATCGTTTGTGGTGGTGGTAGTGGTGGACGGGAAGATGGGTGGTGGTGGTGGATGGGAAGATAGGTGGTGACGGTGACAGAACTCTTCTTCGGCGGGTGGTGGTTGTGGAGGTTGGGAGTGATGGTGACCGTTGTGTGGTTGTATATATATAAAGGAGAGAGAGAAATAAAAAGGGTAATTTGGTCATTTTCTTATTTTGATATTTTACGATTAAAATTAATAAAATAGTGAGGGTAAAGTAGACTTTTCACGTGTTTTAAGGCTCTGTTTGGATTGCAAATCTCACAAGGGGGTGTCATTGTCCAAAAATAAGACAACTTGTATAGGTCTGTCCTTACCCCGAATCTTAGAGGGTGTTATTGTACTTTACCCTAAAAACAAATTGTCAAAGAGTGAAATTTTGATCCTGCAATTTATAGTTAAATCAAACTATCTCATCTAACTATCAAATAGGTTAATGTTCTGTTTGGTTTGAGGGGATGGAAAAATGAATGGAAGAGAGAGAGGGAAGGTTTCTCCCTCGCTTTTTCTTTGGTTGAATGGAATGGATAGTCGAAAGGATGGATAGGGTAACATTTTTCTCTTGTTTGGTTGAAAGGGTGCTTTTTGTTTGGTTGAATAGAATGGATAGTCGAAAGGATGGATAGAGTAACATTTTTTTTCTTGTTTGGTTGGAAGGGAGGGAAAAAGAGTTTTTATATTCTTTTTACTAATATACCCTTATTATATATAATTATAAAAATTAGATATTCATTTCAAATTTTTAGAAAGGTTAAACTTGTAAATTATTTAATAAGTGTTAGTTATCTTTTTTTCTCTTTCCTCTTCCCCTCAATTTTGGACAGATAGAAAATTACAAAGGAATGATGGATGCTTTCATCCTTCCTTGCTTCCTCCATCTTTTCCCTTCCCTCCAACCAAACACAAAAATATTCTTCCAT